CTTCCCCCGCTTACCATCTTACCCCGAATCACTCTATGCGTTGCAGTCAAATCAGTTTTTAGTTAGGATGCGTTTTAACTAGTTTATACTGTATGTCTTTGTCAAAACCCGTTTTGTCTAGTTAAAACTAGAATTTACTGCTAGTCAAAAATGAATTTGAGTTAAAACTAGTTTTAACTAGACAAAACGGGTTTTAACAAAGTCATTCAGTATAAACTTGTTTCAACTAGTTAAAACGCGTTCTAACTAAAAACGGGTTTTGACTGTAACATATATATATTTTCTCTTAGTAGCATATCTTTTAATGCAATAAAACAGTCAATATTGATTATAATATAACATAAAAAGGTGTATTTTTATGTATAAAAGGTGTATTTTTATGTTATATATTGTATACACTTTGTGAAAATTTTATGTGCTCTCTCCTAATTAATCTATGCCACAGGATTTGGTCATAATTTATTGTTGCCATGTATGAAAGTATAATGTGTTTTTATTATGATAAATGCTTGAAAATGCTTAATTTTATTTATAATCTTTCAACATGGTACATTCTTGATGTTTTTTGCAAAGTCAAAGTGTTTAGTAAACTTTGCCGACAAGAATTCTCTTTAAAGTTGCCGTTGAATTATGCATAAAGTTGATTATTGCATAATGCGACTATAGAAGTTTAACCATTCAGCGTGCATTATTGTGGAAGTGCGAGCCGTAATTCCGAGCGAACACATTCGTCATCCTAAAAGTCTAGACTTAATCCACTGGGGAACTATTCCGTACCATAATCAGTATGAAAGATATGTAGATAAAGTAGGAGTTTCTGTTTATTTTTTAAAAGTATTTTATGTTATTTATATTTATATATATTTAAAATTTTTCCTGTATATTTATTTGCGCACACACAAAATCATAAGATGTTTAAGGAATTTCTTACATCTCTGAGATGTATATTTTTAATTAAAGCGGGTACACTTTAGTTTTTTTAGATGTTATGCCGCAACCATGACATATTTTAATCAAAAAAACACATCAGATTTTTACGAAAAACACGGATATTTAGTATATTAAATAAAATCTTAAAAAATCATTTTATTTTTTTCATGTTAAGGTAGTTGGAAATTCCATTTTCTAATAATTTGTTTGCTGTCTTTTCTTTATTTTGTTGCTGA